TGAATTTTGAAAAGACGGTGGCCGTCGACGTCGGCCTAGGCGGTGAAGGCGAGTCGAACCAAGCGGTGGTAGGGACGCGAATAGAGACATCAGGTTCGTGGTCGAGGTCGAGGGCGTTCTCGACGAGCGAGGCGAACTCGTCGATGGAGAAGGGAGTAGAACGAATGGAAGCCATCGAGGACAGCGGCGAGAACGATGACGATGGTGGTAATTGGGAGGAAAAACTGGGCCTGCCTCTCGCTGCCGTCGATTTTAACCATTCGCGTCAAACTGTCATATTTCCGGATTGGGAAAGTGATCCTCCTTCTCGAGTCGCTGATCTTTGGCCAGGGACTCGGCGTCGCCCACCTGCAGCGAGACCTTGACAACAGTCTTCTTTCATTTACCGCCAAATGCACGTCGACAGCTCTGGCCAGTGTCAGCGCTCCACTTTCTCTGCCCAGCGGAACTCATCCGTACAAATACTCTCGTGGGTCGCCTCCGGTCTGCAGAATTCCGCGACATGCAGCCTCGAAAATAATCCAGATTTCGGAGCGGGTGGCCTAGCGGAGGCTTGCTAGCTCGGTAAGCATCTCGGACCGGAAAAGAAAAGGACGCACCTGGGCTACCTCGTGATAAGAGGTGCTGGGTAAGCTTCTATCGCAACACTCGACTTGTCCGCCACCGCAGAAAGTGAGGACACTGGAAATAGCTGGAAAAGAATCGCACGATGCTTACAATGTCCGACCAGTTTTTGTCGTGCCTCGTGATACCATTCCTGATCAGTATTGTTGTTAGTTGTCCTGGCGGACGTTCGACTTCCGGAAGACGACGCCACCGTAGGAGTCATAAGAATCAAAAGAGAACTCTGTCAATGCGCCTAGTCAGCATGACTTTTTTTCCGACTTGACAAAAGAAACAGTTCTTACGCCCGCCCCCAAAGCCTCCGTATTCCCTGCTGTAAACTTTCGTCAGACATAGTGTTGCGCTAATTGTGGGCCTGACCTTGATCCACCATGGCACGTCAAGTTGGACGTCCTTCTCGGCAGCCGGCTCCATAAAATGAGAACATTTATGGACAACACCGTGCGATCCAAGCACCCGGCACCGAAATGCCTGTCCCGACATGTCCGCCCTTCAAAGTAAAGAGTGAGGTTATCTGACTGTTTAATTGAGTCGGGGAATTCTTGGAAATTTTCATATAGTATCCCGTAAGCAGTCACGACTCAGCGCAGTGATTTTGCAGGTGTGCGCCTCCGCCGTAGCTACAGTATGAACACATGGCGCTGCCTTGAGCCTACTTGAGCGAAGGATGAAAACGCCGGGACCGAAGATCCAATTGGTCGGCGTCTTGCGAAAGCATGCACAGAAGAGTCCCCTTACGTCGGTAGTAATGAGCATCCATCTGTCGTCATGGTCCTGAATGTAATCCTCACAGCGGCCAAAACGCCGATATGAAAATAATCGGCGACTCAGAGCCAGTATGTCGCCTGTGGGGATCAGCAATAGCAGCCTTGCTGACTTGAAAGATACACATCCAGGGCACATATCGGGTTGCGGTAGAGTGCGACGGAGATTTTAGCGGAGGGTTACTATTGCAGAGTGACAGCTGAACGTCGTGTCGGAAAAAACGCGTTGACTGTGGCAGTGCAGAGCAGATGTCGCGCTGCTGGCGGCGACCCTCAAAGAAAACAAGCACAACCACAAGACACAGCTATATGGCATTTTCACGCGACTCTCATAGCAATCACCATGCACGACCGGAACATTTACCGCCGAACGACAGACTTCGTCGGGCTAGCCAAGGCATACCCCGAACTTGAGAATCAGTACGCTCCTGCTTACGCCTACCATTCGCCTTGCTAACCGGCAAAGATATCCAGCTTGATACCTTCACCCTCAAGCAGCTCCTTGAAAACGATCGACTTCAAAAACGAAGAATCACAGAGGTCGAAAATCCCATATACCTACATCAGTCGCGAATCTGACGCATCCCAATAGATGCCTAACAAAGGCTTTATTATACCGGGATTTTGGCGTTGACGTCGTGTTGCCTGAGGATCGCCTATGTCCTCCAGTATGTAATGGCATATTGTGTCGTTCATGTCTTTTTGAGGCATTTATTTATCCAGGTGCCAAATAGGTCAGTCGTCGTCGATCATTGTCGAGAAGCGCTGATGTGTGATGGGACGTAGATTGAATTATGTGCTCTGGATACAAGACATCATGCGGGAACACCCGTCCCCAGGTGTATGCGGAGTTGATATGTATGTCTTTTTCTCCTTTGATTGCTGATATATTGATTTTCTCTCGCAAGAGGCACAGGCGCATCTGCGATCTACCCTCTGCTCGCGTGTAAACTTGAATTGGATTGGTCATTCGTGGCTACTGGTGAGTCAAGTCCCGAGGTTGAAAACCTCGGTACAATTTACTCATGAAAAAAACGCGCAGAATTGGACGACGCGTCTTTTCAACTAGCGGAGTCCAACATCTCAAGAAATCAGCTTGGTAATCGGGTACGCGTACTCCAGGCACATCCCGGCCAGCCCATTCTTTCCCCCCTAAACGCGTCCCCCGATGAATCGTAAGCTTCTCGTAGCTGGTCCCTGCTTTTTTGAATCTGTGTTTCGCAGGTTTTCCTTCACAATGTGTAATCCGCCCTTTTACGCATCCCTGGACGAAGTGACGCTGTCAGCAGAAGGGAAGGCTATGGATCCAAACGCTGTAATGCATAATTTTTCGTCTTTGCTGCTTCTCACGCAGACGAAAGGTTTGTACCGGTGCACCTGTTGAAATGGTAACTCCTGGTGGCGAAGCGGCATTCGTGCGGCAGATACTGAGGGAGAGTAAGCAGCTGGGCACGCGTTGCAGGTAATTCTGTCAATCAAAGTCAAGATTAGACTGACGAAGCTAACAGATGGTATACCTCAATGCTGGGAAAGATGTCCTCCCTAAAAGAAGTTGTCGATTTGTTGAAAGAGCTTTCGGTGCGTCCACTCAGTGTTAATCTTCGCGACACGCATATGGACATCAACGCAGATTGATAACTACGCCATCACCGAGTTCGTCCAAGGACAAACGCGAAGATGGGCGATCGGATGGTCATTCACTGACGAACGGCTGCCTGACGTTCGTGAGGCCTCACTTTTTCTCGTGTCACTCGTCTGATCTCTGAACAGTCGATATCTCGTATAGCGAACCCCGCTTTACGCTCTCTTATGCCGCCGCACAATAACGTCGTACAGCCTGTTCCCGAAGACAAAGTAGTGGATATTCACCAAGCCCTCCTCGCCATTAGTGGCTTGGAAACAGAGTCGTGCGATGGCCATGTGCTTGTGAGAGCCAAAGAGGACACTTGGTCTAGGAGCGCGAGAAGGAAGAAGAAGCGGGACGGTCCTGATCTTCTTTTGGGTTGCAAGATGGTGTGTACCATCAAATTTTCTAAAAGTGGAGTTGGATATCAATGGGTAAGGGGAGTCGGGTCGGACAGAGGGTTGTTTGATAGTTTTTGTAGCCATGTTAGTCGAAAAATACTGACAGAGAGTTGAGTTCAAGCTGGAAGGACTGGATCGTCTGACATTTCTTGGTACGACCATGGTGCATGGCTCGCAACTCCTTCATGCTGGATGTTGCGTTTGATAGCATTGTTTTCTGCTTCAACCAGCCGGTCGTAGCGGCCGTAGACGGATTCGTAATGTGGTGCGTCGGAGAACATAGTAGTAGTCCGGTGGTGGATGTAGGCCAGGCTGAAACCCAAGTCCTCTTTCGGATGTCTCAGACCGATCCAGTGAGCTGAGCAAAAATCAAAACCATGAAGGGCAGTACCATAGCAAGACACTATGTATCGACGCGAAGCGTGGACACCCGCAACCACACGTTCTTTCGCCATGCTTAGTACCGTATGAGCATGTCGTTGGTTCTTCAGGGGCGGGGTGAGTATCCTGGCAGAAAGGCCAGGATCGACAGTCTCATGGGAGGCATGGCAAGGACGCTGTGAAAGGCTAGTCATGTCGACCAGGTGGTGTCGTGGTGGGTGAACCCGCCGGCTCTTCGGGTATGCGCCTAGCTGGATCGGACATCCCCGGATCCTCACCACGCCTGGCGCGCTCTGCTGATGAGAAGGTACGATATCGAGGGCGTGGGTTTAGGCCTGGTGTCGCCGGTCCTGTTGTAGAATCTGGATCAAATACGAGTAAGTTCAATTTCTCCGATCAAGAGTTGAGAACAGATACTGACATATCATTTTTGAAAGGGTAAACTTGATTGTCCTTTGGCGTAGTATCCACGGAGACAAATCGCTCAGAGAGGAAATCACCGCTTGGATTTTTCAAATTCAAACACGAGGCTACTCTTGCAACACCCAGTGGAATATTTTGTTCAGGGAACTTTAAGCTGTGACTAACGTGCTCATTCAGGCCAGCATACTTGTTATCGACGACTTCCATTGCTGTTTGTGTGATTTCTGTCTAGCACTGGAGGTCGAATCTCAAGCCCCAGGAAGTTCATCATGGTCTCGTCTGGGTGGTTCTTTCCGGTGGCTTCTTCCTGAGCTGATGGCGATTCGACTTTTTGATCAACGATACGTGACAGCAAGAGACATCTACTCACGTGGGTGTACAGTCATTGAAGTGAGGGTCATTTTGGATACAATATTCATACTCAAAATCAACACTGTTGAGAAATATACAGTAGCAGGCCTCCCTTCTCTCACATTTGGTCAGAAGGGGTAATTATCAATGAAGTCTTGAACGGATCAATACCTGAAAAGCCCTCTGACTTACCCAAGGCAATCTGGGTGTTGTTGAAGGACTATTTCAAGATGGATACGAGTCAAAGACCTTTAGCAGGGGCTTTGAGTCATGAACTGGACAAGTTGTGCTGACATGAAATGTGTCTGGTCCTTGCAGCACCTATCTGCCACAGAAGATGCCAGCTATGGCTCGTCGTACTTCCTGCCAGCTCGGGACCTGGGTTGTATTCTACAGCAAAAAGTGAAGAACTCATATTGCAAAACATTCATTTCCGATCTGTGCGGATCGAACGCACGGCCTCGGGATAGTTTTGCATCCTATTACAGTCCCACGCTCTTCCAACTGAGCTAAGATCGGACATAGAAGTATGCTTCAATGAGGTATCTATATGCCCATGCAGATATTTCACTTAGCCAGGCAAGAATCATAACTGCACTTGTCATGTTCGGTGAGTCCCTATCTATGCTTTGCTACCTACTACATTACACCACGACCCAGTCGTAGGTCTAACTGGAGGTATCGCGACCGGCAAGTCAACCGTCTCTGCACTGCTCCGTGACAAAGGCGTTCCTATCGTCGATGCCGATATTATAGCGAGAAAGGTCGTCGAACCTGGTACCACAGGACTAAAACAAATTGTCAAGTACTTTGGTCAGGAGGTGCTATCTCCTGATGGGTCTTTGGACCGCAAGAAGCTGGGCTCGGTCATCTTCAGCGACGAGTCGAAGCGGAAGAGGTTGAATGCAATTCTGCATCCTGCTATTCGGAGGATGATGGTCTGGGAGGTGGTGAAGCATTGGTTCTGTGGACGGAAGTATTGCGTGTTGGACGTGCCGCTGCTTATTGAAGGGCCTATATGGAAGTGGGTCGCCCAGGTTGCCGTGGTATACTGGTATGTCGCTGCTGATGTGTTTACTCCGGCTGCTAATCTCGTCTTCCTAGTCCCGAGGAGATACAACTCGAGCGGCTGATGCAGCGTGACGGCTCAACGCGAGAAGACGCCTCTGCTAGATTATCGTCCCAACTGTCCATCAGCGACAAGGTGAAGTACGCGGACGTTGTGATCGACAACTCGAGTACCAGGGAGAACCTTGAGGGGCAGGTAGCCGCGTTTGTTCAAGAATTGGAGAAAGCTGTTGCATGGACTTGGGTGCTGAGCTGGTTGGTTCCGCCGTGCGGTATCCTGTCAGCAGCGTGGATATTGACAAGACGAGCAATTTTGAGGAAGACCAAGACCAAGACCAATCAGCAGGGGTTCTTCACGGACGGCCCTGGTAGACCTTAGCCCGCGGCCGCTGCAGACATCCATACAGGTATGCGACCACGCATTCTCGCTTGATTCTTCATCACTGACAGTGCATAAGGCCGCTGAAGAATTACATTGTATAATAACGTCAAACTTGCGAGCATATTCCGCGTGACAAGCGGGACCTACGCTCGTTCGCTCTGGCACCTTAAGCTTAACCGACTGAATACCATTATCATGATCAAACCATGCTAGGTCCGCATGCTGTCAGGTATCTATCAATGTCGCTTCTACATCTGATGTTTTCCCGGACGCGACACGGTGCTCTTCTTTCAGCATCGTACCAGCCCTTTTTGCACCACGGTCGACTGACAAAATTGCTGCTTCGAAGCTTATGGTTCGACAAGGGATATATACATCTGTCCTGCGGGAATGGTAGGCGCAATGCTTATCATTTTTCCGTTGGCAGGTACTGATGGCAAAACTTTCCCGTTACACAGTATGTAACATTACTCAAAACTAGACGGGCTCTTTGATCACGGTGAAATACAGTTTTTCACTGTTGATTGACATGAGAATATTGCAGCATTCTATTCTGGGGCGGCTGCTATCCTTTTCTCCTTGTAGCGTTCAGTGTTCTGGCCTTCAGGTTTCCCGCATTTTGTGTACATTCCATCGACCTCGACCGACTCACTGATAAGACACCTTCAACAGTTCGCCCTCTATTACCGACAAGATGCATTACGTGCATTCGTGCCTATCTGCGGCGTAGATAACTACGAGTGAATCTTTGTGAAGACGAAAGACGGACCAGAATCAGCACTGAAATCGCCGACTTTGATGGTTTCATATGGCACGAGACCCCCGAACGAAGTATTTTGCGGGCATGGTCGCCGTTGTGCAAGAATGTTATATATTAGAATGGGGTCTTGTTCAGTCTCATTTTGCACGTCTATGAAATTATCCCTGCATTTGTCCTGCAGTCCCTGTATCGTGATGTCAGTAAAGCGCGCTGTAGCAACGCAGTCCGGATAGCGGATAGAAGATCATTGTGAAACGAAAAAGTGACCGCAGCAAAATAATAAACCTAACATGGCGCCAATATTAGCCTTTCCTTCCTTCTACCACCATCATGTCCATCGCAGACGTTGTCCCGCCATTCGCAAAGCCTGAATTGCCGTCTGCAGAGGAATATCGCAAGCGAAAGGTCGCTCTCATTTCCGGTATGTCTCTGCAGTCGGATCGCGCGCCTATTCATGGATGTGTTCAGGTATCACCGGCCAGGATGGCTCGTATCTGTGCGTACCATCACGGCTTCCCCGATCTCCTCTCATTTTTCTTGGGCAACAGAACGGAGCTCCTGCTCTCCAAAGGCTACCAGGTGCACGGCATCATTCGCCGTTCGTCGAGCTTCAATACGGGTCGTCTGCACCATCTGTACGAAGATCAGCATGAACGTACGTCGCCCCATCCTGCTCGCCCGTACCCCCTTTGACGTCCCCCAGGGCCGAACAAGTTCAAGCTGCACTATGGTGATCTCAGCGACAGCACCAACCTCGTGTACATCATCGCCCAGGTCCAGCCCACGGAGGTCTACAACCTCGGAGCGCAATCGCACGTCAAAGTCTCCTTCGAAATGGCCGAATACACTGGGGACGTCGATGGGCTGGGCACGCTGCGGCTGCTCGACGCCATCCGGACCTGCGGGCTCCAGAACCATGTGCGGTTCTACCAGGCGTCGACGTCTGAGCTGTACGGCAAGGTCGTGGAGACCCCTCAAAGTGAGACAACCCCGTTCTACCCTCGGTCGCCCTACGGATGCGCCAAGCTCTACGCCTTTTGGATAGTCACTAATTACCGCGAGGCGTACGGGATGTATGCGTGCAATGGGATCCTGTTCAACCACGAGAGCCCAAGGAGAGGCCGGACTTTCGTTACGAGAAAGATCTCGAGGGCGGCAGCTGATATCTCGGTGGGAAAGCAGTCGTGCCTGTATCTCGGGAATCTGGATGCTCAGCGTGATTGGGGACACGGTAAGTATTGTTCGACTTTTATATCTTGTCTTCTTCTTACGTCTTAGATAGCTCGCGATTACGTCGAAGGGATGTGGCTCATGTTGCAGCAGCCCACTCCTGAGGATTTCGTTCTTGCTACTGGCGAGACTCACCCTGTTCGGGAGTTTGTCAACAAGTCTTTTGCGGCGCTTAATATTGAGCTAAAGTGCGCTGCGCCCCTCTTGAGTTTGCTTTTACTTATATTGGCATATAGATGGTCTGGCCAAGGAGTAGACGAAGAGGCAATTGATATTAAGACGGGCAAGGCCGTCGTAAAAGTCGACCCACAGTACTTCCGACCGGCAGAAGTCGAGTATGTACACCCTGATATCAACACACGACCTTTACTCATGGTTATCATAGCCTCCTCCTTGGGAACCCCTCAAAGGCTGAGCGTCTTCTAGGATGGAAGCGCAAGGTTGACTTTGAGTCTCTGGTAAAGGAGATGGTTGAGGCGGACCTCAAGGCTGTCAAAAGCTTAGTAGAGGATCAAAATTAGGTATCATTCTGTACAAAACCCAAGGAGGTAGCTTGCTGTATTAGACCATGGACTGGACATTCGTCGTTTGTTTTTTGCGTATACCCCCAGAGTGACGGGATGAATTTGGTTGATTTCCATTGTCCATCTAACGTGGAATTGTCCATTCTACATATCTACTTCCTGAATCCTGTCCTGGCGGTATCATAGTTCGCCAAGAACCACTTCACAGTTGCATCGAGAGCTTTATATCACAGCAATGAGTAACCCGTTGACGAATCGTGTTGAAACCCACCTTCAGGGAAAGGAGTGAACTGGAAGCCTCCCATGAGGGAGATCACTTTCTTGTTGGAGGCAGGTTTACGGTATTGGCCGTCTGCGCGAGTGATGTCGAACTGTAGAAATGTGTCTCGCAGTGCAGATAGTAGAATACATATCACTTACGGTATAGTCGCCTTTGAAGTCCAGCGCCTTTACAATAGCGTCTGTGACGTCCTTGATAGTGACTTCCTCGTCTTCTCCAACTAGATAGGCCCTCAGAATACAGAATCTCGCAAGAAACGGCGACACAAACCGGAAAAGATGACAGGCTCAACATCTTCATACTCCCGAAGCTGCCAGATGAACATTTTGGCTAAATCATGAGAGTAGATAAACTGTCTCAGAGGCTTTCCAGTTCCACCAACGATGAAGGGTGTGTTGTTCTCTGTGAATGTAATACAATGGGCGAGGTGATTCGTTGCACGATTACGCGACGTACTTTGTGCTAACAGGCATTTGTGAATTAGAGCGGGGATAACGTGAGCGTCTTCCAGATCACTGAGGATAGTAATCAAGATGGGAAATCGGATATGGGGTGAGAAGCCTACAAGTTATCGTAAGGCCCAAACACGTTCGTGGGGATGGCAGAGGTAAAATTGCAGCCGTACTGCTCCTTGTAGGCCCTGCAGCGGACGATCAGATTGTATATCGATATCAATGAATAACAGACGCACCGGTTGATGATATCCACTGTCCGTTTTGAATGGGCGTAGCCAAAGTTGCTAGGGTGCGGTGGGCCGAGATGGATTTTGGTTTCGTCCAAGGGGTAGGTGACTTTGTCCGGGAAGACGCACGTCGAGAGACACGACACGACTTTCTGGACTTTGAAGAGGTAGGCCGTGTGCAGGACATTGTCGTTGATGAGAAGGTTGTCCCTCAGGAAACTGGCCTGTATTGGTGTCAATGTATAAGTAAACCAGGATAGAGATTAGTACTGACATTACTCCGCATGTTAGCGAATACGCCGCCCACTGGATATGGAATCAAGACATCGTACGCTATCGATGCGCAGACCACTCACCGACTGCTGCCAGATGAATAACATGGGTTGGCTTGTACTTTTCAAAGAGTTTTCGAGTCTGCTCTGGATCCCTGACAAGAGCAATGATTGCAGGTCGCGCCTAATAATTCTGTGCGGTATGCCTTACCGCAGGTCCCCCTCCTTCGACGTCGCGAATATCCAAGTCTCGTTTGAATGCTTGCCGAAACGAGACCCGGCTGGCTCAGTCTCGATTACGTGCTTGATACCCTTCCCAAC